ACGCCCGTCCACCATCTCCCGAGAGGCTGAGGCAGCGAGAGGAGAGAAAAATCGATCAGCATAAGCCAACCAACACAAGATGCCACTTTAAATTAAATTTCTGATCGATTAAGTGCATTTGTCGCTTTGACAATGAGGAGCCGACCCAGCTCTTTGAAACGTCAGCAGTTAAATAAACCTGTTCCGGAGAGCCTATTTTCCTCTTCAAATAATCTCCTCGGATCTCTCAACTTTGCAAATCTGAACAAGACAGTTTGGCCGTCGTGCCAACCGTGTGCCCTACATCAGAATGGGAGCATGAACGGTGATTTGCGCGTATGATGATAGTAGACTTGTGCAGCATCTACCGCACTCTCCCCTCCTTCCCCACCCGAACCCGCTGTCAAGACAAAGTTAAGAAAGCCGGAGTTGGAAGAGGACGCATGCAGCTGACACGACGAGAGCCCGCACCTAGGCGTACCACACACCTTCTGGTGCACAAAGTACGCTGACTAGGATTTGATACACCAGAAAAAACATAGGGGAGGGCGGTACGGATCCCAGTCGGCTTGCAACTGGGCCTGCCACCACGCCCCAACGTTGGTATTTGTTATGGGTGTGCATCCCCGATAACGCCTGCCGGACGCTGACCTAGTCCCCTGTTCGTCCAGCGCAATTACCGTGTGGCCCGTCTTAGGCGCATATACCTAGCTAAGAAAACTATTTCGCGCACACCTCAGCATTGCCAGACCCATCTCTTTGTGCATCCATGAACGCCAATGTTTACGAAGGTAGAAGCCTGTTAACAAACCTTCGAGATATCGAGAAGATCCTGGAAGCAAACCGTTTTCTTCAGTAAATGGGCTGCTACCTAGACGTGTTCTGTGACGCGAAAAAGAAAACGTACTGTCACTTCAGGACACTTAATGACAGTCATGTAAACAACTTCAAAAACTCTTGTGTAGAAAGTTCTGGAATAGGTCATTTGTTGTTTAGAAAGACAGGAAATGAAAACCGAATAGATTGTTTAACCTAATCACGCCAGTGTCCATTTTGTCGTCAGAAGCTGGAAAAGAAGTGCCAGCAGACTATAATCAAACGCTGAACTTCCGCGAACGAAGCAACGGAACTCGATGCGTGCCAAAAGGAGAATTTTCGCCGTCATGAGATTAGAACAAATGGGGTATGCGATGAAGTATGCCGTCAACTGATGATATGCAGCACAAAGATGCATATCGAAAGCGACTTTTTACTAAAATATGCTACTTTATTCTTACGTAAATATAGGCGCCGGCCATGGAAAATGGACAGTACACTCGTAAACCCCTCAGGACGTGTGAAAAAGAGCATGTCCGACAAATGTTCACTTCTGTAATCCCTTCATTCTCTTCACTGATTTCGTTTTCTTCTTGACATCACCACCTTGCCAGCAGTCTCAACTGGAAGGATTCAGTCGAGTCATCCAAAAAGGAAACATTCCTGGATTCGGAGGGGCGGAATCCGGGGCATAGAAGCTACGACTGAACTACCAGCTCCTGGCGCTCGCTTTGGTTGGCTGGTAGGTTAGCCGTGCCACTCCGTCCCCCCCCCCCCTCGTTGGTCGCCGGCCTAGCCGCTCACCCAAGCCGCCTTCAATCTGCCTGGCACTCCCGAGAATCGATTTCTCGAGTCATATGAGACTTGGCACCGGCATGGCGAGAGCTCGAGGTCACTCGACGCAGCATTCCTCGCTGGCGGACAAAGCCCAGACC